TCATTTAGTCTCTCATTTCTCTAGCTGCCATTTATGCTTAATTTTATACATTCTTGGTCACTCATTAGTCTTTATAGAGTTTGCTATTACAATAATTGATTTTCTGAGTTAGCTATTTTATAGATTAGTTGTTGATGCATATTTTTAGGTTAGTATCGATCCTAATTTGGCTAGTCTATGATTCTTAAAAGATTGCCTTCATCGAAATTAAGTCTTGTAGAGGCCATTTTAGAACTAACCTTCTCAGAATTCTCTTAAACCTGCTTAAAATATTCCTGTTGTTTGATTCTGGAGCTTTGAATAGTTTCATTTATGCTATTTTTCTTGATTTCAAAGAGATCCTTCACAATCTCTAGATTTTGTTGAGGATCATTCATTTTTAAATTACTATTACTATTGATTCCCTTTGTATTATCACCTCTAGATAAAAATTTGTATCGAAGATTATTTTAAGGTTATTATTTCAAAGCATTTGATTACTGGGATATAACTCTTTTACTCAATCTTTGAATTGGCTCATTGAGTTCATATGAATTCGATGATTTTTCCTCCTAAGACTTTATTCTTTCAAGAATATCTAAGGACTTATCATCAATGGTCGCAAGCTTATACTTTTGTGCTTTAGTAAATTACAGCTTTTTGTCCTCTCTAAAATCATCAAGAACAAGAAGATCTTTCAGTCTTTGACCTTCATGGAACTGTAACCCGAAATCCTCTTTGTAAATTTCAAATTTTCCTATCACTTGTTTAGACTTGAATAATTATTCTCTTATCTATATTACTTGAGATGCTTATGCTCTTAAATTCTTAAATTAAAACTTTAACTCTTCCTTATTCTGACATTAGCTATTCTAAATATCCGAGGAAGTTATATTATTACTTAGCTATTAATAAAGTATGTCCATTTTGACGTTATTTGCTCTCAAATCATCATAATGGCTTTATAAACTAGGCAAATTAACTCTTATTTGTTTGAGGAGATCAACTACTTCTTTGTTATAATGATCAGTCATCTTCTTTTCAAAATCTTCGATTTGAACTTGGATAGAAGTCTTCTGTTTACTTTTAACCATCGCTTACTATGAAATTTAGACTTAAATTGGCTATTAACTTAGTGGAATTGATTGTTAAGTATTATTCTACTGTTGTATTTGTTACTATTATGTTAATTACTAAGGAGCTAATTAAGATTTAGCTATGGGAATTGCCTATGATTTATTTTAAGCTTAGTCAGCTTGGATTTGAGGTTAAGAAAATGAAAAATTGCTTGGTTGATTCTAAAGAGGCAAAGTTTATTAGGATCCTATAATTTTGGTACTTGATTTTAATTGAGGCTGTATAAGCTTTTACCCAAGAGCAAATGCACCAGTTTAGGAGGATGATTAGAGATAAGTTTGAGAGTTTTTGTTTGTTTAAGGAGTAGCAAAAGTTCCATCTTTGAAGGGATCGGTTTGAATTGGAGACTATGATAAAGATCCAAACATGGTAGAAGTCTGAGAATGCTATAATTGTTGAACAGGCAATTTTTATTGTTAAGTAGAAAAAGTGTTTGAATGTTTAATCTAATTCTAATCCTATCCTAAAGCAAAAGAGTTTTACTAATTCGAATTTTATTGTAACTAAGTCGGGTTCGGTCCACTAAAAGAAAATTGGTTCCGAGATTAAGTATTCTAAGTTTAACTTAGTGGCTACTACAATGAAGTATTAGGTTGTATTTAGGGAAATGGTTACTGCTATTTTTTCTCCTCTTCAGCTTTCTTTTTCTATTCTTCATTTTATCTCTAAACCTGAGCTTAAGGAGATGATTGTACTACTGATTAACTCTTTGGGATTGGTTTAGTTTAAACCAGAAGATTATCTTATTCAAATCTTGGAATAAAAATCATTCCTTCATGAAGTTCTCCA